ATCAATCTTTTCAAATCAATATAACTACTGAGCCCCCATTCGGTTGTACTGAACCGAACATTGCCTATGGATTCATAATGCAACCCACTTCGACTCAGAATCTCAGTATTGAGAAAATTCTCAGCCTGACACAGAGCTGTCACAAGGACTTGCAGCACAAAAAAACCCACAATCATGTTGTTCAGAATATTTCAACTAGACTGATGTGATTGAGAAACGGGTGGTGGTTAATATAGTTGAACCCCCTCCACTTTTCTCTCGAATATTACTTTTCTGTTATTCATCTGCATTTATCCAACTATTATGCATTTCACCGAACCCCAATTACTTTACATATAGTTTATTTCCCTCCTTTTTCAATACTTTTTCAACTAAATATATATCAGAATGTTTTGTTTTCAATAGTTCTTCTTCATAAAAACTCCCCTAATCATATCATTTTTATAATCCTCCAATTTGTATGTAACTCGAATAGTTTTATTAATTTCTCGTATAGTGAATATTTCAGTCGTCCAATTTGGTGTATAACCCTTTTCAAAGACATGTTTCGTTTTGCTTATGCGCACTTTATCACCTATTTTAAACTTTGCTGTCTCAGTCTTTACTCGAAAGTCTGCATAAATTAAATGTAATTTTTTAGAATTCGTTGCTGTTACATCGACAGTTTTCATACCAGTAGTCCGATGTTTCCGATAATTATATTCATACATTAATTCTGGCAACATATCAATCCACTTATAGTTCCCCCGTAAACTAAATTGTAGCCACATTTTACTCTTCGATGTTCGATTAAAACGTTCACATATTGACGCCTTCAAATTGCTGAATGTCGAGTATAAATGGATATTAAATTTTTTCATCAATGCTTGAAATTCAGAATTGTAAAATTCCTTCCCCCCATCCACATGCAAGTTTTTGGGTACTCGCCCACGTTGCAGGATAGAATTCATAGCATTGGTCACATCTTGAGCATTCTTTCTCTGTATCGGTTCAGCCCAAGCAAATTTGGAAAAAATATCAATGACAGTCAGCAAAAATCTGTTGCCATCGTTAGTTCTTGCATAAGCCGTCATATCCACTAAGTCAGCCTGCCAAGTCTCATCCAAATCGCGTATATCAACTTTTCGTCGACGATAATTCCGCCGTGCCGGTCTGTGCAATTCCGTCACCACATCCAATTTATTTTGATCCATTGTTAGATATTTGCTCAAATTCTACAATCAATTTGCCAACTCGTTTGTTTATATCTGCAAAACTGCGTAGCATGTCCACATATATAAGGTTTGAATCTACTTATGGAGCATCTCCAACGTGACGGGATCATTCGTTAATCTTCTACGAAATAGGTCATAATTGCCATCTACAGTCAAGTTATATCCAACACCTGGTGGGCCGCGATTGTGAGAATTGCTCTTTGCGGTCAAGTGACGACCGAACACATCCACACTCATGATGCAACTGTGAATCATCGAAAGTGTACCTATGCTAATATATAATTCCAGCTTCGCGAAGTTCCGCTATAATTGATATGATTTCATTATCGTGGCTCTGATTACTTGCCGCTTGTGAAGCTACAAGTAATTGCAGACGTTCCACAAGTTCGTTGGGATCATCCCAATAAACATAGTCTACTGTGTGGGGTCGTTGAGCTGTCATAAAAGTAGGTAAAGCCCCTTGCCTGCATACATTGGTCGGTCAAACTGTGAAATATATTTTTCATATTTCTCACTCTTAATATCTCGAATGCCTCCACGTACTTTATAATTTTTTTGATGACCATTGGTTGCAAGCATAATATTTTTGTATGCATTAATGTCACTTTCACTGATCAAAGCCGCGGTTGGATGTTTCATGAAGAGAAGCTCCAGTAATCCATCAGTGCAGGCGTACTTCATTGATTTGACTTTTATAAATTCATCTTCAAAGAATATTGCCGAATCTCCAATCATGAAATTACGCGTAAGTCTGCGAACACCGTAGGCTTTATCCCATCGGCTTGTATTGATTTGTGGGAGATATTTTCCTGTCAGAGTTTCCGGGTCAATACATTTTTCATTTTCTGCATTATCATCGATCATTCGATTAGTATGAATTGTACTTTGATTCTGCTTGAGTGAACCATTTATAGTTGGGACAATCGTTTCATCGTAAGTGCTATCCACAACTGGCACAATAGTCTCATCCAAAGTGATATCGAGTAAGGATGATGGTGTGGAAGAGCTCTCTCCGGGGGTTTTGCCAGTCTATAATACTTGGTTCAATTTCTTAGGAGTGCTGCTGTATTTGATTTTTTTTTTGGAGTCTTCAAATCAATGGCTGGGGATTGTATTTGGTTATTATCAGCAGATTTCACGTTTTTAGTTATTAATTGTTGCAGTGGAGTCACAATGGGCTTGAAGACTTCATTCATCACCTCATCAATATTCTCTCTACCCAATTTCAACTGTTGATGTTTTCGTTGAATTGCTTTCCGCGCATCAGAAATTTTTCGTAAAATATTTTGTTCTTTTACTATATCATTCTCGTGTAGAGGCATGTTGACTCGTTGAAATGTAGCCCGCAACTAGTCATAATATTTATTAATGACTATTATTTATCTGAATGAAGCAATCGAAATTTCGCCTATACCGACCTGAATCAATGTCACTGTCCTTATCGACCACCAAAAATGTATAATTATCTCTCCAACATGCTGAGCATACGTCTTTAAACTTGTCGAATGACATGTCTGTATTCACATGATCATTGTAAATGTGTTTCAAATTCATTTCATCCTGCTTGAATAATACCAAAAAGTTGAAATTATCACGCACTAAATGGTTTGGAATTTGTGCATATGATTGACACAAATAAAAACTGTCCACATTTTTATGTGTCCCCATACAAAAATATGCTTTGATATTATTTTGCTTTTCACATGCAACATCGTCGAATATGAATACTGAGTTTTCCTTTGCATCATCCACGGATACTACCTCTTGGTTATCATTGAAGGGATAATAGTTGAGTTCGTCAAGCGGTTTCAGTAGATTTTCCAAAAATTGATATTTAGGTTGGTTAAGAGACTTTGAATACATAAATATTGGAAAATCTCAAGCTGTTGGGGTGAATTATAAGGCTCAAAAGAGCATTAGTTTTTCCACAATTCGATGGTCCACAAAAAACTGCGCGGATAGTGTTTGGCAGCAGTATTCCATGGCGATTAGATTTAATGATATCTTTCGCCTTAATTACATCAAAATTAATGACGGGCAAGCCGCCGCCATGTGAATTGAACTCCATCTTTCTAGTGATTGATCTGCATAACTATAAATTAGAGGTTTTATAGTGAAATCATTCAGTTGCTCTAAAACTATGATTGTGCACAGATCACGTATAAGAAACGGTAAAGGATTATTAAATAAATTTATCAATAATCTCCCTGTTGAATTGCACTTACCTGGCTATCAATACTGTGGACCAGGCACAAAGCTCGTGAAGAGATTAGCTCGGGGAGATCCTGGCATAAACCAGTGTCACGTATTCATACGTGTTCTCTATTGTATTTAGAGAATTATCATTAACAGAAAAATGATTGATAAAACGATTTATGATTCGGGATCATGACCCATGACCAACGTTAATTATTATTCCCATGAACAATTTTAATTTTCAATCACAGGAAGAAACCGATTCCCAATACACGAAAATTAATCGAAAAATATATCATTAATTCTGGAAGCATTCAATGGGAAATCCGTAGAACACAATTAAAAATCAACTTCAAGTTTTATTCAAACAAACAAGCTGATACATGAAAATTCATAAAAAAAATATAATTAATACTAAAAGCATTTTGACTTAAAAATTGGTAAATACAATTCAAGATCGATTTCCATCATTAATCACACGAACAAGCTGATTCCCAATAAAATAAAATTTATTAGAAAAATATAGTTAATACTACAGGCACTTTTACCCTAAACTCAGAAAAACCAATTGATTACCTTTTCACGAAGAATTCCAATGCATCTATTACCGAAGATACAATAACAATTTATAATCAACAACAAAAAAATCCACTAACAATTCGAACATCGACAATGAATTCCTTCTGGAAACGCTCAAACGTCGGAAAACACCAATCTGCATCTCTCGAAGTATCCGCAGAACCCAAAAGAGAACCTGAGCACAAAAAAAATAAGCAATAATTAATTCATTATAAAGCACAAATTTCGCATTATAAATTAATGAGAACAAAATATATACCAGCCAACTAGAAAAAGAAGCAAACACCTGAACACACCAATGCTTCGATGACAATCAAAAGATACCTGAAAATAATTATGATAGAAGTTAGAGATAGTTTGAATATTAAAAATAAATATTTACATACTTACCCTTATAATGACGAAACCTGCATACTGGAACAACCCCGATACACCTATGAAAGAGAGAGACGATTATGCTAATAAATCAAATGAAAATAATACATTAATTATAAAATAAGAAGGTAAACACTACTTACCATGGGCAACATAACCCCAGCTGTCAAACCAACGGTGACAGTTCCACTACAGCGCATAAAGGCTATCTCACATTCAGAGGCGAACAACCGCCGCTCTACTGTTCAAGCAGCAACTACAACGCCAGCGCATTTGTAACTAATATATAATTCAATTATAAAATTGGCTATTATCGATACTACTAAAATGCAATTAAAACATAATTAAATGATAAAAATTCACAAGTATCAATGATACTACGATTTAAATAAAATAGGATTATAATGCAATCCCAATTTCATGAGAAAAATCAAAAGCGAATTCAATCGAATGCGGAATGTCAATAAAAATGCAAAATAGTAATTAAAATTATCAAATGCCTTATAATAATAAGAAGACATGGAAGGCAACAAGCAGAAGGAATAAAAGAAGTAAATAATTATGTCCACAGAGTCTAACCAAAAATTATCATCTTGGTGTCGTGGGTCACTAAGTTTAATACAATCATTATAACAAATACAAATAAACAAATAAATACGGGACCAGTAAGGAGCCCACGAAATGCAAATAATTCGGGACCAAGAAGGAGCCCACAGATAAAAGAAGGCCTGATGATTGTAAACGAACTGACATGTGATATTAAGACAGGGTGAAAGCCGCGATAACGAGGGACGATCTCCTGAAAACATACGTTAGAAACTGTCAAATTCCAATTCTTTACCAGCAAATATAATTCAAATAATAAATATGAAAATAATGCAATTTCCTTCAGGCACATGTAAGACCTGACAACGATTCAAATACAATTCAAATAATAAATATGATAATCATTCCATTTCATTCAGGCACGTGTAAGACCTGACACAGATATATTTTATTCAGGCACATGTAAGACCTGAAACAGATTCAAATATAATGCAAATAATTCAATGATAATAAATAAATTTTCCTCAGGCGTAAATAAGACCTGACACAGAAACACAATTAATTACATAAGTAATAATTAAATTCTATTCAGGCATGTCTAAGACCTGAAACAGAGAAAATGAAAAAAAAATAAGAAGAATACGATGGAAGCGACTTTGATATTTCGCACTCAGAAAAAGAATAAAAGAATGGATAAGATGAGATATTACGTAGGGGGGGCGTAACAGAATTTGTCACCTTGGCACGGCTAGTTAATTCGAACTAATAACTATTTACTTACTCTTACAAAATACAAATAAAAAAATAAATACAAACCGGGACGAGCGTAGCCCGAAAAAACCAATTTATTAATTAGCCTAATTAACCTGCAATGCCAGGGCAGGGTTAAACCGCGACAACGAGGAAAGTGTCCCTGAAGTTTTATCAAAGCTTTGAAGTTCCAGAGTTCTATGGAAGAGAAAGAATTATCAGAATCTCCAATATCATAATCAACTTATACTTTACGAAATAAAAATTGTTAAACAGAGAACATAATCATTCTAAAAATGTGAAGTTAAAATACGAGAAATCAATAATAATTCATCCATTCAACAAAACATATTCCAGATATACATTGAAAAATTCATAAACACTAAAAATGCATCGATTTTATCGATCGACATTTTGTTATAGACCCGAGCGGTTGGGTTCGATGATAGGGATAGATCACTTGTAGATAATTAGAAATGAATATCTCTCAGGGAGATTCTACTTTTTAACGATTAAACGATTTATTCAATAAATATAGTCTTTGATTAATGCCGTAAATATCAGGCAATATGAATTACAAGAAAGACAACCTGACTAACTGACCCAGTGGCAACGAACTCACGAGCTTA